ATTTGAAAGATTACACACAATGCAGTAAATATCTTTGCCATTAACATTTATATTTTAATTCTCCTATTTAGTAAAATAAATGTTTGACTCATAATAATTGCATTTTTATCACACATATGCTTTTTTTCGTTGTGTAATAGAAGCATTTTCGAGATGAAAATGTCATTTTGTAAAGTAATTTAAAATGATTTGGAACTTAGGGACCAAGTACAAGGAAAAAATTTATAAAACGTGTAAAACTTTGCTCCAAGTGAGGAAGCAACAATTACTTTAATAGCTGTTTTCTTGTTTTTACCATAGCAGCTCCAATTTATATAGCAACCCTGGTGAGGGCACTGCGAATACTATGCCTTGAAATTAATTTATATAGTAAATGTCATGAGATAGACATGCCCTTTAATGACAAAAAAAAACACATTGTCAGGATTCAAATGGCCAAGTTATAGGTCAGAGGCTTCCAGGGGAAAAGTTTCATTGTGACATTTGCCACCATTTTTTCTTATTCAGGAGATATAATAGACATGATGCAATATTTGACATATAGTCCATAAAGTGAAATAAATAAACACCAGACTATTTCATAGTGTTATAAATCTGTAAAAGTCAGGGTCAGCAGTTAACGTGGGTTTCATCTGGCCAAGACAAACGATATAAAGGGCCTATTAACTCAAAATAGCCATACCATTAGAGGTTAACAAGCATTTTGCATTCATCATTTGAGTGGCCTAATGATCCTCTTTGCATTCTGATTTCTCTTAGTTAAATAGAACTATTAAGTGGAAATACTTTTTTTTTTAATTACACAGCAATGTGGAAACGAGTGTACCTTACACAATAGAGCAGCCACAGGTTTGCTAGTTTCAACACAATTTTCAGGGTCTGCAATGCATTGTAGAATATTTATGGATTTAATTCTACACTTTTTTCTACACTTATGCCATATTAATACTCGGCATATCTTATCCTGGTGCCATAGCTTCTGACACAGTAAGGTGATTAACATCCAAACACAGGATTTAGAGAGATAAGGCTGCATAAAGATAATATGTCTAATGCTTAATCATGTGAAATGCATTTTAAACATGGCTGACAATGTGTACATAATTTAATAACAATTTATTTTCAATAAGGAAAACAAAATGATATATTTACATTCATACAGTATAATGCAGTAATCACATACAAAAAAAGGTCTGAATACACTCATATTATTGACCCTCCTGCAGCTTAACTAATACATTGCTTGGCCAAAAAGAGTCACCACCTGAATTTAGCTAAGCAAATAGGTAGGGCTGCAACCAACCAATCGATTAATCGATAATAATCGATTATGAGAATAGTTGTCAATTATTCTCATTATCGATTAGTTGGTTGGATCTCCTTGCTCTCTCCTCCATGCTAGCAGGAGGGCACAGCAAGCAGTGGGTGGGTGCAATAGCCAGCCTGCTATTGGCTATTGCAATTTGAAATGGCCAATAGCAGGCTGTCTATTGCACCAGCTCACTACCTGCTGCATTTACATTCAGCTGCCATCTGCAGAATCTTGCCACTGGCAGCTGTCATTCCCTTGCTGAAGCTAATCAAGCGCCATGTGCTTAGAATACAATTATTTTTAAAAAATATATAAAAGGTGGGAAAAAAGTGATTTTCGGTTTCGGCATGACAAATTCTGTTGCAGGAGGTGCGTTGCAGTGCCATTCATTTCAATGGCACCACAAACGCGCCTCCCACCCTTGTGTGATTGCCCGCACTGGAACGCACGGTACTGCACAGCTGTGCGTTCCAGTGCAGTGCGATTGCAAACAATTGTGCTTGCAGTTTTATTCTGAAGTAAAAAACTTTAAGTTTGTAACACTCCATTTGTGTATTTTTTTTAAATTAAGGATGGCATTTATTTTATTTTTTTATCTGAAAAATTAGGTCAGCTGCCTACCTGAATATACTCATTGACCCTGATGCCATGGGCATATTCCAAGATGACAATACCTTATCATAATTATCATAATGCCAAACAATACTGGACTGCTAAACGACCAATGCATGTTCTTGTTTTTCAATAAACTCTTCAATAATTTATAGGATAGACATTTACATGTATTGAGTAGCAACATAAACATTTATATAGCTAATTAGTACATTTTATCTAGAGCCCAACTAGAACAATGACTAGTAGAGGTGAAACAGTACCACCTTAATTCTACTTTCTAAAAAAAATCAACCTACATATGGCTGATGCATGGAAAAGTTATTGATGGTAAAAGTTTATTGCTAGGCATAGCAAGCAATTTTCTCTTGCATTTTTGTTGTTGTTGTTAGCCTGCTGCATAAAAAATACCAACAAAGCAAATATGTTGCTATAGCAATAACAACAAATTTGCCTTCAGACACGAGGTCCTAATTGGGCAGTGCATCCTTATGGGCATCATCTGGCAACTGTTTAGGAGTTAAACATACATCACAACTGTAGGTAATATTTCCAGGAACAGATATAACAGATGCTAATCCTAATATGCAAAATGTATAGAAAACAAGAGCCTTTAGGGGGAAATTAAATAGTCTTGGTTTGCATCTGGATATCCATCAGTGCTGTCTGTATACATTGAGCCACAGGGAAAAGCAACTACTATAGTATCTGTCTCAATATGCCATGCAGCAGTGAGAATGTATTAAAAAAAGAAAAAACAGAGAGCACTAGCTAGATAAGAGCAAACATTTTTATCAAAGAACAAATACAAGACTGGTAGACTTTCAAAACTCAAGCCGCATTTCATCTCAGACACTTTTGAAACATGGGGCTTACTGAGTGTCCTGTGAAGTATCCACAACATTACATCAAAAGACAACAGCTAGACTCTTTAATTGGCCCATGCCTTTAACCTTCATCAGTGAAAGGACAAACATGAAAACAAGACACACCATGGATCTCTGTAACATTTCCCACATGAACCAGCACTACTGCCCAAGAGTTATGTGCTAGACCAGTCAATAATTAGAATGGTCTATGACTAGCTGTGATTATCACAACAGGCAAAGAGGGCATCAAGTAATGATATTTGTATATTGCTACCCACTGTCCTTAAATGAGGAATTTATTTATTGGGTCCTTTATGAAACTGTGTTAAAGTTACCTGTTTAGTTCTATAAGAATCTAGGGCAGCACACCCCATAACAAGTCCATATTAGCATGGCTTTTTAAAGTAGATCTAAGCCAAATCACGTATATACAATATACTGTTAATTGTATAATGTTAAGTGCAAGTTACATGAGTAAGTGTAAAAAATCACATGAATGGGGGAAAAAAGTAACTTATCATTCTTTTGGCTTCCATAGTTTAGGGAGTAATGTCATTCCCCTGGTGTCGTGATCCAAAGGAAGCCTCCTATCCTCCTTGGAAGGCTTATTTTCCCAGCAGTGGGACAAGGGCCTCTTTCCCACATCCGGTCCCCCCAAAAGGATCAGGGGATTATTGTGGGGGACTTGTATCAGAATCTGGAAGCAACTTTTAGAATAAGGGGGCCCCCCAAGATAACCAGCCCCACCCACGGTAAGGGATGCAGGGGTAAATTAGTACCCCTTACCCATTCCCAAAGAGTTAAATATAAATAAAAAATGTGTATTTTAAAGCACTACATTTCACTATTCTCTAACACCATGTGCAGCTTTAAGGCATCCCCAATGTATGTAATTTAACCCTTTCGCTGCCAAGGCGTTCTTTGCACACATATTATAATCCACATTTTAGGCCTCCATATTACGTAAAACCCATGAGAGTTATATATTTCCTGAAAGCACAGACCCTGTAGAACAAAATGGCTGCATTTGCAAATTTTTACATCACATGATATTAGCGCAACACTTAAGTTGATTTTAGTGCCCCAAAACAATATAATAACCATAATTTTGTAAAATCTAAAAGATTACGTTATGCCGATACCCAACATGCCAAGCTTAAAAATTGTGTGCGCCCATGACAATGGCAACAAAATGTCATACCCCAAATTGTCCATAGGCAACACTTTAAAAGCCCATACAGGACATCAATTTAGAGTTAACCGTGAATACTGGCCCTAGAATTATTGCTCTTACTCTACCGTATGCAGCAATACCTATGTGTAGTGCAATCCTTTTCATACATAGGAGCATGCGACGTGTGTTTTACTATGCCCCCTATGTGATAGCATATTAGTGGTGACCGGTACTTTTTTAAGGTGACATTAGGGGTCTACTAGACCCCTAGTGTCACCTTTCTACTGCAAAGAAGCTATTCAAGTGCAGATCTCATTTGAAAAGCTTCTCCACAAGCTTTTCTAGCCACCGAATGACAGGGACCGGAGGTGATGCAATCAGCGCGGAGAACATCCCTTCGCCAGTCTCATTTCTCTGTACCCGCCAACACCTGTAAAGCCAGTCCCAGGCCTACAGGAGGGGATGTCGGGTGGGGGAGGGGCACGCTTCACCGGCCCTAGAAGTGATCTGGCGGAAACTCAGCCTCCATAATTGCTTCCAGTGTAAAGCTGACTGTCAGCTTTACACAGCTGAACACAGCCGCTAGGAGTCTGTTTAGAGGGGCCTGCTGTCAGCAACGTACCACATAGGTAGCTGGCAGCGAAAGGGTTAAGGGACTTTTCAATGTTGCAATTAAGGCCACATGAAAAGACCCTCTCCCTGCAGTAATTTTTTATTTGCATTAGTATGTGCCTCCCATGGTAGCTAGTTTCACCTCCATTTAAAAGGAATTGGTAGCAAGTTTGGGGTTTGCCAGCTTTCCGCTGGTTTGTTGAGCCCAGCTTGAGTTGAACATTATTAGGTCTAAAGAGGACTGACAGTCTTGTGAATTCCTCCCATTTTGTTAAGATCATGCTGTACTCTGCAAGGTAGCATGAAGCTGCTATTTGTTACCATCCTCCTTATTTTTTGTGCACATTCAATTCTTGATGACCTTACTTCATTGGAGAAACAGTTAATTAGAACAATAAAAAGTCACTAATAAAAAGCTCACGTTCTTGAATCCTCTGTAGAGAATCTGCAGTTCCTTCTTTGTGAATTTACTTTGTGCTTCGAGCAGCTCAAGGGCCTCGGGGCGATGCCGCACTGTTGCCATCTCCAATTCATCTTCCACATTGTCTGAAGAATAATTAAGAACAAAGGTAAAAATAAATCAAGGCAAATGGGATTCAAGTATGATAACTGTGAGACACAAGATTACAAAGAACCAAACGGCAAAAAAGATCCCATGAGATTTGATGCTGTCACTTACAACCATGTAATACTCTAGTTGCCCTTTATAAGTTCAATGGTAAAAAACTTTTTACCAAAGATGTTACCTTTTCATTATTTTTTATTATCACCTCAACCCAGTTATGTCATACAGCAGTTGTTCTGATGAGCTTGCACCGAACCTATTCAAAAGTTTTTTTGTCTGTTCCATATGTAGCCCCTATAGGAGATATACAGTATATATATATATATATGTATATACGTGCTATTACAGTGATTCATGTTCCTGACTGCGAACAGTTAATTGTCTCTGTGTGTCCTGGAGGCGGAGACCTATGGGGGTTGGAGTGCAGAGCAGAGACTGGAACATTGGCAAGAATGATCTCTGAAACTGCAACTCCCAGGAGGCTGTGCAGGGGAGAAGAGGAGACTTAGGGGCAGTGGCTGCTGTACGTGCTCAGTCTGGGACAGCCATCTGAAGAGGACAGACCTGTGCAACCCTAAGTGGGTTAAGGCTGTATGCAACAGAGCTGTGTGGTCGCCGCTGACATACCGGGATCCACAGGCTCTGTGCAGCGGTGTACAGAGAGACTGACCGGAGTTTGCTGAGTCGGAAAGGTCCCGATCGAGTGCCTGAAGTGAGGCCCAGTGACGCGGTTGCCGTGAGGACGTCGAGGCCTAGTCCCACGGCTGAACCAGCCATCGGGGTGACCCAGCCAGCCCAGCTGAGAGAGCGGAGCTAGACGGAGTCGACCTAGATGACTGCCAGTACCCTGGATGAGTGAAGACCTCCTACAAGAGACCCAGATGACATCACCATCTTCGCAGAAGTCGATTTGAGAGAAAGGGGATGCCGGATTTCTGCTAGCAGACTTCATCTCTTTAAACTGACCTTGGGAGCGGTGAGAGGCCTTTGGCCACAGTGACAATCTGTTTTCATATTCGTATTACAGTAAGGGCCCCAACGTTGGCTAGCCTAGGACTCTACTACTGGCCAGTAGTCTAGGGAGGGTCAGACATTGTTAAAGGGAGACCTTAAAGGCACATACACCTCATTCGAGGCAACCAGCCTTTCATTCAGTCTGTGCTGGCAGCTGACAGCTGCAGTTACTGAGTTGCAGAGTGCCTTAGCCTGTTGCTAAATATTCTTTCATGTGATTGTGGGGTTTACTATTGATTTTTTTTGCCTTCATATTTTGTGTTGTCATTAATTCTGCTATAAAACTGTTCAAAAGGTGTGTTGGTGTGCTGTGGATCCACAATGTGGGCGGTACATTGGTGTAGGGGGATAGAAATACCCAGTTATTCAGCGGCTCCTTTGGGGGTTGAGCGCTACACATACATATTCTTTAAGTTAAGCTGAACTAAAAAGTTGACTTGCTATGTTATAGGAAAGACTTGGAAATGTGTACTGTGCCTAATCAGTACCCTTAAAACATTACTTGTTTTTTGAATTCCTCCTGAAAGATAGCAGTGCACTTCCTGGTATATAAGGGTGCCTAGGAACTTCTGCCATAGGTGTATATCTGCAGAAATCTAAGGCACTGCTGCCTCTCACTGCTACTCTCAGGAGATGCGGAGTGAAATTATGCTTACACTGTTCTCCTTGCTTTATGCTCTGAGATGAAAAAAAAAACCCTGTCTCTAACCTGATGACCACCTCCACACAAAGACACAGTGTGGAACAAGGCATGGTAAGTCAGTTTTGAAAGGATTAGCTGCAGGGACACCACAGGCAATCCTGATTGCTGGTCTTGTGCCTTCTGCCTGCCCTTTTTTTGGGAAAGCTTCTAAAGTTCAGTTCTCCTTAACTACAATTAAAATGAGCTCTTGAAACAAATTAGTTGCTCGGGGAAACAAAAATATGTTGCTTAGAATCCTGGATGCCAAATATATTTGTTGATATTCACAATTTTTTGAAAGAAAGAGGTAGACAAAAAAACATACTATGGCTAATATGATTACCAATGGAGGAGATCATGTTTGGGGCTAATAGGCCAATATTAGGACATCATTATTAGACTAGGTGAAAAGCTCAACACAACCAGCTCACCTTCCCTAACACTCTGCCTCTGCTATAACTTTTAAAGAATCCGAGTGATTAGAAATGTGAAGGCCCTGCTTCCTTTATAATGTCTGCCTGATTCCTATATGAATATGTGCTTGGTTCCGTAGGAAAGTGGATCATGGTGGCATATGACTTCATAACAGCAATAGAATACAGAGCCACCTCTGGATAAATGTGTACCTTAATTCCCACTTTCTGTTGTTTTTGATTGAATGTATCTTATTAAACCATGATAAGCAGTTTCTCATTGTAGAGAACTGCGTTGAAATGATGAAGTTGGAACATGGACGCTCAATCACGTGACTCTCAAGTTGCTGAGCTATAATTTTTGATATTTGCCATAATTGGTGCAATTGTTATACACCACTGTAAGTGAAAAAACTTATCAATTCCATGCAATGCCAGTCCTTGGAAAATTCAGCCTCACTGTTCATATGGATGCTCCCTACATTTCTAGATCAAATTGAAGCTTTTTACACATAGTTGAAAGTCAAAAGAAAAGTTCCGGTATAGACCTTCTCTGCAGATTATTGCCTCGTATAAGGACTGCCAATCATTTTAAGGCCAACATAAAAATGAGTGGTCAGCATAGAGGATGCATATGTACAAGGCTGACATTTGTATGTGCTTGCAGCTCTTGCACTTGAATCTGCATAACACAGGGATTCAGTATTTGGGCTGATCACCCACAGCTGTGTGAATTGGTCATTGCCATGGATGAATAGATTGCCAGGATTTAAGGAAGGTCATGCTGGCTGCAACCAAGATGGATGAAGGGCAGGTGTACTGTTCTGATAGTCCATGCACAGTTTAACTTAAATGGTTTCTCAGTGTTATCTGTCTTCAGAATTAACTTGATCACAGTTTTTCCTGTTGAATAAAAATTAAGCAAACCAGTTACATCAGCTGTTTACCTATCAGAACCAAAGCTCTGGATTAGCATTTGATGCCGACTCTTGCAGCAGTGCTAGCTTCAGGACAAAATGATGAGGGGCTGATTTACTAATGGCACATAGGATGTTCACTTTCCAGGGGAACTTTCCCATAGCTTTTGTGGTGAGAATTCACTAAGCAAAGAATACACAATTATGTGCAAGGAAAATAAAAAAAACAGCATGTTTTGCTTCTACATTATTGGATGATGGCAGTCAGCAGAGCTTCAACCCATTCATTAAGCTAAGGGAAAATGTCCCTTCAAAGTGAGCAGCCTATGTGCCTTTAGGAACTATTCACACCAGCAAGCTGTGCTTAACGCACGGCCACTGGTGTGTGCTAACAGAAACAAGTTCTCAGGGCCATCTCTATAATGAAAAAGCCTGAAGTTTTTGTCTCAGGCTGCATGTCTTTGGGTCATGTGCTGCGCATGTGCCTGCCGCCCGCTTTCCAGCCAGAGCATCCCAGGTTGCCAAGAGCCAGATGCATCTCTCTGACTAAAGCAGAGCGGTAAACTCTGGCCGGTGTCCTGCTCACTTCATGTGGAGGCCACACTCCCAGCTCCAGCCCCCTGCTCATCCCACACCCTGCCTGAAAAGGGTACTAGGGACATTCCTGCAAGTGCTGATGCACTGATCCAGCAATTTGCCTTGCCCTTTTGTTAGGACTGCCCTGGAAAAGACTTCCAGAGTAGCCCCAATGTATCTGGTGCAAATGGGCCCTTAGTAAATTAACCCTCAAAGTGCATAATGCTGCACAGGTGTGCTCTGCTCCAGAATTAGCACTCTTTCCTGCTCTGACAGGATGCATAAAGGTGCCCATACACCTTACAATTATCTGCAGATTTTCTGTGGTCAGATGGAAAAAGTGCAACAGATTGGCCCAGTGGGAGATCACTCCATCCACACAGTTTAGCGTAGATGGAGGAATCTGTTGCACCTTTTCCATCTGACCAAAGAAAATCTGCAGATAATTGTAAGGTGTATGGCCAGCTTCAGCTGTGACAGGTATTCTCTAATAGTTTTACACAGAGATTTTATTTAATACACAGGTGGGATGTATTGGTATAAATATGTAAGTCCATGGGCAACTAGCTGATTAGCTGTTGTGCTTTTTAATCCTTTTGATCGGCAACAGCTAGCAAAAAAAAACAAAACACAAATCTCGCAGCAATGTATTTTATAATAGCTAACTAGCCACTCAAGTGAAGTGGCACAAAACCATTAATAATTCAAAGGTGAAACAAAACAAATATTTCTTTGTGAAGCCATGGGGAATTGTGGCTGGATTTCTGCTGCCAAAATAATAGAGCAGGGTTTTGCCATGTTGGGGACAATAAGGCAATAAGAACTTGATGGATATCTGTGCTTGAAGCTGGTAAATCCTAAGAACTTGTGTGCAGGCAAATTATTTATTTGGGGCTGTGGTAATGTGACACATTTAAGCTTATTCCTGCTCATGCACAGAAAATAGAAAGTAAACTGTTGTAGCAATTTGAAAATATACTATAAGGGACAAAATGAGTCATTTTATAATTAGAACAGTAATAAGCGTATAGGCCATAAGTTTCATTCTTTATTAATAATCACAAAACCTCATTGCTGTTTAATGTTGCTTGAACTTTCTGCTATATTCATCAATATGCACTGTTTGCTGCAATGTAATAGATCTACAAAGAATATTTATAGGGACATTGGACAGACAAACAGTGTTTGAATGCATTTCATATCATAACATTTTATTGTCTTTGCCTGGCTTTGTTCTAAAAGCAGTGTGTTGATTTACTTCTATGCACACTCACTGCAGTGTTTCTGGTAATGTACACAAGTCCTTATAGCCTTCCTACTTTTCCTGTCCATTAGTGTGTGTTATTGCACGTGTCATATTGTGCTGTGTTTTGCACTGC